AAAAAAAGAACGTTTAAGGTTGTTTTAAGGACATTATCGGACATGCACAATGGAAGCCATTCTGAAGCAGCCAAGGGGGGATTCTGCATGAGCCAAAAAGCAGAGACAGGACCAATCGTCAAAATTTTGGTGTCGATCATTCGATTTCATCCTGGACACTACAGAAAATGGGCTAAAAGTGTCAAAAACCGGAATTATCCTTTAACGTTACCAACAAATGGGCCAAAAACAAATAGCAAAAGACATAAATAACAAATAAAGGTGCCACAACTTTATAGAAAAGCATTTTTTTTTTTTTTTTTTACAGGGGGCTGAATATAAATATTTGTAGTGAGAGAGATCGGGTTTAAACCTTAAACTGAATACTTCTACAGAGCACTACACCACTAAAACTATTCTCACCTTATTAAATGTAAATTAGTAATGTGATCAGTCTTTATACATTAACAGGATGCAATCGATTAATAAAATATCTGTGAGGATAAGCAGCAGAAAACCAGGAACTCTGAGCCAAGCAGCCCTGTGTTCACAGGAAGGTTAATACTTCAGCTGTTTCTTTAATTATCAAAAAGTGCTTTAATATCCTTCTCCTAACAACATTAGTATTGATGTTTCAGCCATGTTGACATTACAGCTATACTTCAGGAGTTTTCTGTAGGTGGGGAACCATGTCTGCAGGGCCCTAAATCTGGTCAACTCTGCCTTTCAGTGGCTTCGTACGGTAAAAACACAATAAACAGTTTTTATTCATGTTTGGATAGAATACTTCATTGGTCTTCAGTAATGCACCTCCTTGTCCAACATATTTTATTTATCTCTCTGCCTCCTACACCTGACAGTCATCTTCAGCTCCTAATAGAGCCTGAGAAGGAAATGAAATCAGTGGATTAAAGTGTGATGGAGCAGGGACACATTTAAAAACAGCAGGACGGCGAGTCATGAGAAGGAATGAAGACCTCTAAAAACTATGAAAAGAAACAAAAACAGCTTTTAGGTAAAAGAGTAACCAAATACAGCTAAATAAATGTTTTACCACTAAAGAGAACATTCCTGCATCCATTCAGGTTATCCTGAGCTATCTCTATAGTTCTGCTGCTATAGACTTAGACTGCTGGAGGACATAGGGACCCCTTTTTCATCATTCTGCTTCATTCTATCTCTATTCTCCCACTCTGTAGAATCTGTTAGTTCAATCTCTAACGTTCTCTCTAACGTGACTCCATCCTGGAGAGAAATATCAGCTGTGCTGCTGCCATCAACACCTTTGAGTATAAATGCTTTTCAGTGTTTAGTCCCGTTTCTCTCCTAGACATAGATATGAGCTCCACTTTACTGAGACTCCCTGGACCTGCTCTCTTTCATCCAATTGACATGAAAACTGGTTCAAAGCTTGTCTAACAGTTTCCTTCCTAGACAGAGTAGAGTTTACCGTTACCTTTTCTAACATATAACGCTTTCCCACTGGCCGAAAAAACAGTTCAAACTCGGGAACAATGGACTTTTAGTGTGACTGGGAACAGGTCACTGACGTGTGTCTACCTGGGCCAAATGACTCTGAAGTGTTTTGTGTTAAATTCTCCTGGGCTCTGATTGGCATGCTGTGGGAACACCAGAGCTGGGTTGACCCGCTAAATTACGTGATAACTATTGAAGGCACCATATTGGACGTCGACGCACGGCGTCAGTCGTTTCTGATCCAACAAGCAGAGACAACTCTGTTTAC